GCCTGTAATGTTTTCTGGCGGAGGATATTCGTCAGAACTTTTTGTACATGTGCCAGTCGGTCCGTCTGGGATTAGCAAAGCCGACCGGCATGGGTGAATCAAGGGACAATATTTTTTCTATGTATCGATGGTCAGAGAAGGATTGTTCATCGGAGACGAACCAGTTTATGACTGCACTATCAGTAAATCTGATACCAACGTTAGATCTATGATCGTTTGGCACGCTTTGGTTATGAAGGTGCGGACATTTCCCCAATTACATAAGAATAAATTCGAGTTAAGAATAAAGTCAAAAAGAGACTCACCTCTGTCGTTGTTGTTCGGGCAACCTCACTGGGGATGATGGACGTTGGCGTCACAGCCTATTACAAACCTGTCTTGAGCTCTTCACATTCCTTTGCCTGTCCTCTGACTAGCGCGTCTGGGCCATGTAGGCCGATAGCAGCCTAATGGAGCCGTGCTGCAGCTCCAGGCTTACTGAGGTGTTATCTCCGTTGCTGTAATTGCGAAGCAGAAATATTGTTAGGTGCCTTTTGGCCAAAATGCAGGTTCTAATTTTACCTTCGTTGGGGTAGCATTAGCTTTTACTCTCTCATTCCAAGTCCAGCAACCTTGCCCCCTACTACCCAAGGTTCCTGTACTAGGGCGACTTCGGCTTCGCCCTTGGCCAGGCGAAGCAATAGAGCAGCGATGGCTGCTTTTCTGTGTTGTAGGTTTATCTGCAGGAGTCGTAGCAACATCCCCAGCTGTAACCTCCACCACAGTAACGTCGGCCTCCGAGTCGCTCAGGTCCACTTCGTCAATTGCCGGTCCCAACGCTCGCATTTGCCTGCTTAGCGAGGAATCGGTGGAATAGCCGTCCTCCGGCCCTTCAGGAGCCTCCACTTCTTCGGCAAGCACCTGTTCGGTTAGATTGCCCGCGGAGTTTCCAGCAGCGTACTGCACTAAAACCGAAGTTCAGTTTGCCCCGAGCCGCTTCTATTGGCGCAACTGACTCCTTGTTCAGGACCATAACCGCCTGGTTGACGTTCCCTTCGTGTTCCTTCAACTTGACGACTCTCCAGTCCTTCGTGGTGAGGTGCGGATTGCATACTTGCAGCATGTAGAGTATGTCCTCTTGGGCCTTCATATCTGTTGGAAGCCAGATCCGGGCTCGGGGCCTACTGGGGACGTCGTTCCAGTCAAGTGCGACAATATTCGCCCCTTCGTAGACCGCACCGAGCTTACTTGCCGCCTGCTTGTATAGGTCAGCCTACCGCTGACTATCGCAGGCTACCACTTTGACGCTGCCTTGATACCATCCCGCGTCCATGCAGTAGGGCGGTGAACATGGGTTTTCGCGGATCATGCGCAGGCGTATAATGGACAGTGTGGACTCCACTGCCTTCCACTTATTCCTGGGGATCCGTCCTTCCGGGCTTCCCTTATCGATTAGACCGAGTAGGACACGATCCTTCGTGATCTCAGCGAAGGAGACCGAGGGCTGGACCTTAGATCTCTTCGCCAAAAGGTCCGGGTAGCTCGAGGAACCGTTGCCGCTTTGTCTGAGCACCTTCTTGTGTGGGCTTATCCTGCCCATAGTTGGAAGCACCAAATAAAATTATTTTTTTAGTTCGAATTTTTTTAAGTTTGCCAAAAATCGTCAAATTTGAAAAAGTGCCCTCTCATTTAAAATCTGTATCTAAAGTTATATGAATCCGATTGACTTCATGTCTTTTGCATTAATTCCTCTAAAACCTCTTCTTTCAAAATAAAATTTCAAAAAAAAAAGTTTTTAATTTCCTAAAAATAAAAACAAAAAAAAATTTTTAACCATTGCCCTCACAAAAAAAATAATTTTGTTTATTTTAATATTTGCGCCATATTGTTAGTTACAATCGGTTTTTGTAAGAAGTTGGAGCCACTTTTAGTTTTTAAAATATCGAATTTGTTTTAACAAGGCCTCGGCTTTTTTCGATGAAAAACGTCACAGCATGTAGGTCTACTCTCTCACTCTTATCGGATCCTTATGGAATTCACATTTTCTCATCGTAATGATTAAAAGTTAAGTTTTAAGTCTTTTGACAATTTCTGAATGACAAAAAGTAATAAGTCATTTTTTAATCTATTAAAAACTTACAATTATTTATTTAACCGTCCATTTAATAAACAATAATTTTAAAATTTTGTTTGGTATTATTTGTTTGTATTATGTAAATTATTATTTTTAAATATGTTTTTTTAAATTTTTTAAAAAAATGTATTCAATTTTATAATTTTTTTTATAATTTTGTTTCTATGGTCTGTTTGCCTAGATTCAAAAAAAAACAGTTTCAGAAAATTTTTTAAAATTAAGAAAAATTGTCATTTTTGGGGGTGTCACAGAAAATCATTTCAACCGAATTTCCCCCGAATAGCAATTCTCGGTCTCACACACGTCATTTTTGACGGTTTCTAAGTCCCCCGTATTTTGCCGGACGTTTCGATCAAATTAACCAAATTACAAATGTTTCCCAAAAATATAACTTTATTTAAGACAACTCAAATGATTTTTATGAACTATCTTCATACTACGATTTTTATATTTACTTTGAGTTATATTTAAAAATATGCTTTTTATAAAACCTCTCGAAAAAATGAGCTAAAAAAATCCGTCAGCAAACCGTCTTTCTCAGGGGTGTCACAGAAACCGGCGACGGATTTGGGGACGGTTGCTTTGGAAACCAACCCATCAAAACCGTAGGTGTCACAGAATCTGTAAAGTTTTCTAGGAGTTTCGGAGTAAATTTGCTCTGATTTTAGGAACATTTGCTTCAAGGCCTACTAATCGGTTGGTTTAAAATCGTGTACTTGATTTTCAAACGGTTTCTGTGACACCGAGATTTGCTTTTGGGGGGAAATTTGGTTGGAAGGAATTTCTGTGACACACCCCCCCCCCTGACAGTGTTACCAATTAACTCGAACTTTAAAATACCTAATTTCGGAGTTCTGGCGTGAACAGTTAACGAAATGTTGTGTTAACGAATTATTTATTCAAAGGTACTTAGTATTGTAGTTAAAAATGAAACTTATTTCTGGTAAAAATTTCATGGTAAAAGAAGTTGTAGTTATTGAGAAATTTATAGGGGGGTTGTCACAGAAATCCCTTCCAACCAAATTTCAGGGGTAAACATAGGTCAACAGCGCAAGACGCCATATTCTTGCGATTCATTCGCGATAATATCGACATTGCCAACGACATTTACTCCGGGCGGCCGCATTCTTGTGACCACTGCTCGGGAGGATCTGGGCAATGAGTTAAATCCCCATGGACTACCATGTAAAACCGCTTGTAAGGATCTCCTCTCCGTCCTAGCCTCTCGCAGTTTATGCCTTCGCAAGTACTCCAGAGCAGATGGCATTTTGGTTCGCTTTTAAAATTCTTGCCAGCTTACAAATGTAAATAAACCAGCGCAGCCGCGGCAAACCGCTGTTCAGGGCTGCAATAATTTTGCAAGAAAAACATTAATTAAGTTTTAAAATTATTGTAAAGTAGTCAGAATAAGTCAAATATATATAATATCCATCCAGCCCTGTTCGTTTTTCGGTAAATTTTCCGAAAAAAGGAAATCTCTCGAATTCCTGTGACACCAACGGTTTAGGTCGGTTGGTTTCTAAATTCTAAAAATTTTATCAAATCCAGCATTAATTTCTAGAAAGGCCATTTTATATTAATTTATAGACGCATTAATGACTTAATTTTTAAGTGTGAGAGTCATTTTTAGTTTGCAAAGGAATAATTAGGCCGCCCAAAAATGAATGTATTGTTCTTTTTTGTTTATAGCTACCTAATCGCAAAAGGTTGAAAAATTTAACCACAAAGCATCCAATTAATTTTTATTATTGATCCCTTTTCACAGTAGCTGTAATGAATGAGCAAAATTGTAAAAAGTACAATTTATCAAAATTGTAAAAAGTACAATTTTGCTCATTGCAGCTGTGTTGCTCGCACCTACGCAAAATCGTATAAGCTAAGAAAAAAATAAAAAAAACGCTCGTTCTGACTTATACAGTGCACACAAAAAAAGCACGTCGCCGTAAAATGGATAAGTCCAGGTAATTTTCAGGTAATTCATACTCATATCTATTCTACCTGAAATATTCATAAAATTTACATTAAATAATATCATTTTGCCGAATTCTCTCTCTCGGAGATTCTCTAACTTTGAAAAAGAGCGCAGGAATCAATATAGAGAGCAAAATGACATGAGTGGAAGCGAGAAAGACGTATTCAAAATTCAAACTGACGTACTTTACATTTTCGACCATATCACTTTTACCTGGCCCCATATCAAGTAAAAAGGATATTAAAAAAGATCAAATTGACCTACGATTCCTATCCATTTATTTTGTGTTTGTATAAAGAAGATTTGGAAAAGTTTCATCCCGATAGTTTTAAAAGTGAGAGATATAGCTAGGTGGACTTATCTAGTGATCCTGGTCAAGAATATGTATAAGTACATTATACACACAAAAAAAAAACTTGGTAAAATCAACTGTAATAATTGTCAAACAGGCCCAACCAGCAAAATTGTCAATTCTACTAAGTAAATAGTCATTTCACAACAACAAAATACACACAACTAGCAAAGACACAAATCCAAAGCAAAAACAATATACACGTAACTATTTTAATAGTTACGTAACTATCTTTGTTGGTCAATTTTACCAAGCAAATTTTTTTGTGTGTAGGTTCGGAAACGTCTTCTTCACTGCGTAGCAAACTTTTGAATGAAATCTAAATACTTCCTGCAATTGTATAAAAATTTTGAGAATTTCCTGAAGTCAAAATTAATTTATGGTAAGGGTAAAATAAAGACCACCCTCACTCACCTTGCGATTATTGTTCTTATTTTCTTATCATCGATTAAGAAGAAAATTTAGTTGTTTATATACAGTTGTAGCCGATTACATTTTTATTGTTAGTGCTTGTTATTGCTTGGTTATTTTCAATTGCAGATGAACTTAGCATAGGTAGAACACAAATCGAATTTTTAGAAGCTTGGTGATATTTAAACGTACCGTACGCTTTTTTTAGTTATTGTGTCCATCTTGTTATATTAAAATGATTAATTTCTAAAGAATGCAGAAATTTCTAAAGTTTTTTAAATTTTACTTCAAGGTTTTCTTATAACAAAAATAACAAATAATACAAATAAAATTGTTCAAAATGGTATGTAACGATTTTTTTGAGTTTAGTTTAATTGCAAATAATTAAAAAACGTAACTTTTAATGCCTAAATTGCTTATATAAATCATGTGGTACATCCACTTCTTACTTCTTTGATTAACCTAGTTTACGACCAAAAACGCCTCAATCTTCGACATTTCCCATATTTGTTTTTTCAGAATTTGCCGTTAATTATTCGTAAATTATTCGTGAAAGAATTAGATTTGTTGCTCTTCTCTAAATATTTTATGTTTTATTAATAATTTTCGACTTTTCCACCAAATTTACGGATAACACCAAAACAAATCGATGAAATACGCACTTAAGGAAACCTTTGTTTTTCGGTAAGGTACATCTTTCTGATTAAGAAAAGGGCACTAACAATTGTTTGTACGGTGCCAATTTTTTTAAAACGTTTTTGACACTTTTTTAATTTCTAACTTGAGTTGTGAAAAACAGATTTCGGTTAATAAAAATACACATCTAAAAACCCAAATTAGTTTTATAACTTCCACTTAAAGATACATCTTTAAGCCAACTAATAAGACCCTGAACTAAAAAATCAATCTAAAGTTCGATTTTATATCTATTTTTTACATTGGAAAAAGCATGTATTCCAGCCCTGTTAAGGCAATGTTGTGTCAGTTAACAGCTGTAAACGGCCAAAAAATCACCGTTGTCGTAAGCTTCAAAAATGCATATCAAATTAATTTGCTGGTGGATTGTAATGGGCAACAGCTTGTTTTCTTTGTCAAAGTACATTCTACCAACATAAGTTGCATACCAAGACCTCAAGAAAATCAATTGGTTTGGGAGAGAGAGCGGTGAAAGTGTAAAAGTGAAAATTTAGAAATTTGGATCTGTTGGGGCCGGTGGGGATAATTGGCCCCTCGCACTACGTTAGTTGTATTCCTACTGAAAATGCGCTTAATATGAGGGGTCATCGGACGCTCCGTTCAAAAGTTATACCGAAAACAAATTTGCGGGAGCTTAGTCAAAATGAAAATTTAATTCTGATTGTCTGTATGTCCCAAAACATGGTTTTAAAGTCCTGAAAATTTGATATGATGTTCAACAGCTCGATATAAGAAACTTAATTCTACCACTTTTGGAAAAACTCGCTAGTTTAGCGGGAAAACAGCTATAAATAGCTAAAGAACGGAAGGCCGTAACTTCTTCTCGTTTAAAAGGTATTTTAAAATGCTTTAAGCGCCTCCTATATGTAATTTGTGTAAATGTAATATTTAAAAAGATATGCACAAATCAAAAATGTTTTAAACTTTTTTTTTTAGCTTTTACTTATTTTTCTCAAAAACAGCTCTAACGATTTTCCATACAACTTTAAACTGTATAGCCCTTGAGATTCCTTAACTATTGGTATATATCATGTTACTGTAAAAAATCACGTTTAAAAGTTATTAAGAAACGAAAATAGCCACTTTTGCCAGCTCAGAACAAGTAACGCTTCCTGAGTGTTGAATTTTGTGCGTGGGTATCCAAACTGTATTTTAGGGTCATGAATCAGTTAATTTGCATTGCAGTTCCATATAGGAATCTTTTGTTCTACGACTTTTGGAAAAACCCGCTACTTTAGCGGGAAAAAAGCCAATAATAGCTCAATTTCGTTGGTTTGTAAGCTCTACACTACTAAAGATACAGACATGTGCTATACCTCGTTTAAAAGGTATTTTGAAATACTTCAACGCCTTTTTAACTTAATTCGTTTAAATACACTAGTTTTAAAATTATGATTGACCTATTTAAATTTAAATGTATTTATTAGCTCCTGTGAGAGCAAAACAGAAAATTTTAGAAAGTGTATTTAATGACGACTGTGATAATTTTTCGTCACAAATGTTGATATCAGAACTTTTGTATGTTGAAGGTGCGATCGTCACTAGTTATACTCTACGAGTAAAAGGGTATATTGCAGAGCTCGTAAAAAAAGGTCTCATTGTGCTTGTTGTCAGAAAAAGCAAGAAAGGAAGCTACCTTCGGCCAGCCGAAGCTTATATACCCTTGTAGATAAAGTAATGCTTACCCGGTGCAGTTCCAGGAATTCCAATTTTGTTTTTAAGGAGTCAAGAATCAAAACGCCTACTTCCTACAAAGTTACAATGAATTTTCTTATATTTGTTTGAATTTTCCTATGGGAGCCTTAAGATATAGTGGTCCGATCCGGCTCGCTCCGACATATGTACTACCTGCAATAGAAAGAAGACTTTCGGGAAAGTTTCATCGCGATAGCTTTAAAATTGAGAGACTAGTTCGCATAGAAACGGACAGACGGACATGGCTAGATAGACTCGGCTATTGGTGCTGATCAAAAATATATATATTTATGTGGTCGGAAACGTCTCCTTCACTGCGTTGCAAACATCTGACTGAAATTATAATACCCTCTACAAGCGTATAAAAACATACTGACCCCATACGAAGCTTTCAGAGAGAGACCCTAAAATTTCGTTTGGCCCTGGGTTGCTCCCTGCTCAACCGATGACCGATTTGGTTTGCTCGGTCGGGTCTGTGCTCACCCGAGACCCTTTTCGTCGTAAATACTCGGAAAAGGTCTTTTGAGCAAATTGAAAATTGTACTTTCTTTCATGGTCGCCTACCATTAGGTTAGGTTAGGTTAGCGCGGCGGCTGACACAAGGTCAGCCCACTTGGCCATCACTGGCCCATTGTGATACCGCAATGGATCATTAGTACCCTTCTACCACGAAGTTAGAAAGAGTCCCAGCCCGTTTCTCTTATGAAACCTGCTATTTTCTTCGGGGGGACACTGCTAATTCAGCTAGATTGTGAAAAAAATATTCTCCTGCGCCTGATTAGGGCCACGCAGGAGCAGAAGAAGTGCTCTACTGATTCTACGTCTTCCTCGTTTTTGCAACTTCTGCAGAAGTCGTTGCTAAGGATGTTTAGACGGGATGCGTGGGCTCCTACGAGCCAGTGGTAGGTAATTTTCGGCACTTAATTTCATCCTGAACAAAAGACATAAAATCTTTAACAATTTCAAGGCTTATTTTGTAATATAAAATATATAAACATGAATAAATAATAATAATAATTGACTTATTTCTTTATATATAAATGTATCTACATCGATATATTTCTATTTTATTTTCCCTATAATTTTTTTTCTCTCTCTCTCGCTTTCGCTCTCTCTCAAAGCATTCTAGCGGCGAAAATTGCCATTACAAAATGGATTACGAATGCATTACTTCTCCTCCAGTAATAGGGAAACAATGGACTACAACATGGATTACTTTGCCATAGGCATGACCGCCTTGTAATGTGGTCGGGACACAATTTGCATTACTAGTAATGGGAAAAGTATGCAAGGCCGAGTTACATTCGGGTCTCCATTACGAGTTCACTATACTTTCCCAAAATTGTAATGCAAAATGTAGACAGACTAAAGAAAATTCAACATACATTTTGAAAAACGTATGCTGAGTTGTAATGCATGTTCATTTATGAAAACAAAAATTATTCTTTCCTCATGTAGGAATTGAACATGGGTTTTATTGTATAATGGATGGAAAGGCTAACCGCTCGGCCATTGTCTGTGGTTTTTTAGTTCGTTAAACTATACTTCGAATGCATGGTGTTATTATTAAAGTGCCGAAGCTCAAACGTGCCGGAGGAGAAACGAAAAACGAACACATAGGCAATAATTTTTAGGTGTGTTTGTGATTTTTGACAAAAGGAAATCGCTAACGAACAAAAATACGAAGTCATAGGAGCTCTGATTACAACTTCACTGTCGAAAAACAGCGATCGTAATCGATTACAATGTCTACACTTGTAATGCATTTTTTCTCCAGACCGAGACCGAGACCGAAACGAAAAAACCCAGCGGCGAAAATTGCCATTACAAAATGGATTACGAATGCATTACTTCTCCTCTCGTAATAGAGAAACAATGGATTACAACATGGATTACTTTGCCATAGGCATGGCCGCCTTGTAATGTGGTCGGGAGACAATTTGCATTACTAGTAATGGGAAAAGTATGCTAGGGCCGAGTCACCTTCGGGTCTCCATTACGAATTCAATATACTTTTCCGAAATTGTAATGCAAAATGTAGACGGACTAGAGAAAATTCAACATACAATTTGAAAAACGTATGCTGAGTTGTAATGCATGTTCATTTATGAAAACAAAAAATATTCTTTCCTCATGTAGGAATCGAACATGGGTATTATTGTATAATGGATGGAAAGGCTAACCGCTCGGCCATTGTCTGTGCTTTTTTTAGTTCGTCAAACTATATTTAGAATGCATGCTGTTATTATTAAAGTTCCGAAGCTCAAACGTGAGGGAGGGGAAACGAAAAACGAACACATAGACAATAATTTTTATGTGTGTTTGTGATTTTTGACGAAGGGAAATCGTTAGCGAACGAAAAAACGAAGTCATAGGAGCCCTGATTACAACTTCTCTAACGAAAAGCAGCGATAGTAATCGGTTACATTTTCTTTACATGTAATGCATTTTTTCTCCAGACCCCATTCGCCTGTTCGCCGCTGGGAAGGGTTGTTGCTCAGACCCTGAGCTAGACATTCTCAATTTTGGGGTGTTTCAACTGAGCAGCCCGTTTAGAAAAATTTCGGTTGACCGTTTTTTACGTGCTCTGGTATATTGTATTCGTGCAAAAGGCTTAGTACTCAACCCAACAAAAAGTCGTCCAAAACAAAAAACTTCATATGAAAAACAACGTCCTTAAGCCGTTTAAAATTTTGTTTACATCAATTCCTAACTATTTAAGAATATCTTCACAACATTATTTGGTTTTGTTCAAAATATTTCGAAAGATTTGAAAGAACGCGCGAACCATTTTGTAGAAATAGGCTTGGTTAGAATACTTTGAGACATTTTTTATCTTAAGACTTATGGTAATTCATTTGAACCGATCTGCCTTTTATAGCTCATTTGAAAGGTAATTCAAATACATAACAGCTAACCTAAATTCAGAATACAATTTTATGTACATTAATA